CGAGCAAATCCCACATTTGCTTTGCAGTCTTGCACCCTAGAACCCGGTTGTGTTCGGCAGGACCAAGACCGCAAATCAAGTATTTTAGAGCTTGGGCATTGTGTTAGAGTTTTTGATAAGCATCAGTAGTAAATTCAGCTTTGGGTTTAGGAACAACATTACCTTCGTCATTTAGCTTTGTGATGACATTGTCGCCACTTTCTATCACATTCCATACCTGATAATTATCGGCTTTGATAAAGTTCCCCATCCGACTTTTCAAGAACTGATAGTATTTGCCATTGAACAATGGTGGTCGTTGAGTTGAATACCCTTCTTCCAATCGGTCAACCGTATTCATTTTTCCGGATCTCTTCCCAAGGTATTAACCTCTATGTGGTGTAGACCGGCTCTGATACCAATTGATGAAAACGGTTAGCAACACAAGAGGGGGGGGGGGGGGGGGGGGGGTGAATTGTGTGTGTGTGGAACTGTGGCAGTTTTTTGCCAAGTTCTAGTGTGGGGTAAAGGGAATTGCGAAATAGTAAAGTGGACAAGGATTTAACGAGGAAAAATCCCTTAGCTCAAAAGGGATTAAAAAACCTCGACCTCCCTCGGAGGAATTTTAAACAACTTCACTAATCAAGCCTTTGAAAGATTACAAGAGTGATTCGAGTTTTTTCCTAAATTAATGTTAATTAAATAAATATTTACCAAAATAAGGGTGGGTTAATAATAATTCCCAGTTTACTGCTACCCTGGTTAAAGAAAGCCTCATACGCGTACCCTATCTCAACATTCAGAATACGGAGTTAGCCACAAACGTACATAGCAATAAGATGGGCCCCTCGTAATTATAAAATCCATTTTTTCTTTAAATAGATATAACTTTTTTATTTTTGCTCTATATTAGATAGAAAATATATCACAATTCATAATTTTTTACGAGCTTTCATTTGACACTAATATTGCATATGTAATTTAAAAAAAATTGAAGAGTATATAGAACCCATTTGGGGACTCCTTTTTTGGACTTATTAGTCTTATCAACCAACTTTTTCATCAAACATAGAACTTTTGATTTTGCGTGCTTATTGTGTAATATTCAAAATAATTAAGGTTGAAATTACTTTTCCGACTGCATTGGGTGAAGTTACATTTTAGCTATTTCTATTAATTTTATTAATAGAAATTATTATAAGTATAATTTTTTAAGATATAATCACATAAATATGACCAAAATAAACATGTTTTACAAAAATATGACTACTTACTAGAATAGTAATGAAATCACCATAATTCATGTTTAGGTTTTGAACTTAAGTTACCACAACACTACGTTGTACGGAGTAGTAATGAATAGTCATATTTATCTAAATAAGTTTTATTTTAGTAATATTCTTGTAAGAAAATCATTTTTAATAAATAAGCCAATTCAACTAATATAGTTATTTCAACTTGAACTTCAAAAATTTTAACAGAATCAGTCAATTCAGTCACTTTGATATTTACCAAACGACCTCAAGGTGTCTTATTTAATCTCAAATCGAAGGATAAAAACTCGAAATAAGAATCTAAATTTGGTCTGGTAATTATTAACCCACCCTTATTTTCTTAATTATTTATTCAATTAGCATTAGTTTGGAAAAAACTCAAAATATTTTCTATTAACAAAATGAATAAAAATAGCTAAAATATACATTTACAATAACTTCAACCAATGCAGTCAGAAAAACAATTTCAACCTCACTTATTTTGATTATTACACAATAATCACGCAAAATCAAAAGTTTTGAGCCCGTTTGGTAGCACGAAAATCGACTGATTTGGCTGATTCTGTTGAAATTTATGAAGTTCTGGCTGAAGTGGCTGCATTGGCTGATTCTGGTGATTTAAGAAAAAATTATTTTTAAATATATCTTGTTAATAAAATAAAGAAAAATTTATTTTTAAAAATAGCTAAAATAGGGGTGGTTAGGAACTGATTCTGCTTCTGCTTCTTCTTTTAAAGCAGAAGCAGAATCAGAATCAGTTTTCAGAAGCTAGTCCCCCCCACCTTCTAAAAAAACTGATTCTACGAGCAAATTAGAGCACCAATATCACTTTTGCACTTTCATCCAAACACTCCAATTTTTGCTTCTGCTCCCTGAAGGAGCAGAATCAGTTTTAAGAATCAGATCCAAACACCCCCATAGTCATCTACAGTAACTTTATCCAATACAGCCAGAAAAGTAACTTCAACCTTACGTTTTCCGCTTATTGCACAATTCAGCGCGCGAAAGCAAAAATGATGTGTTTGGTGAAAAAGTTGGCTGATAAGCCTGATAAGCCGAAAAACAGTGGCTCCAAACAGTCTCTTCGTGTTTGGTGAAAAAGTTGGTTGATGGGATTGATAAGATGGAAAAAAGAGTTCCCAGGCCAAACGGGCTCCATGTGCCCTTCAATTTTTTTTTTGAATTATATATGCAATATTGGTGTTAAATGAAAGCTCATAAAAAATTATGAATTGTGATCTATTTTTTATACAAAATAGATCAAAAATAAAAACATTATAGCTATTTAAAGAAAAATTGGATTTTATAATTTTGAGGGACCCATCTTGAATTTTTGATTGCTACGTACGTTGGTGACTTACATCAGCGTACACGTATGGGCTTTGGTTAACCATGGTAGCAGTACATTGGGAATAATTATTAACCCAACCTTATTTAGGTAAATATTTATTTAATTAACATTAAAACCGGAAAAAACTCGAGTGATTCTCCTAATCTACACTTGAGCCTCCCCAACTCTATCCTCTCTAGGAAGAGTTATGCATCTCTACCTTTTGGGTAGAGAGCCTCTCAGCTTTATCACAAAGCTCTTACACACACACTGAACCCAACCCCGAGGAAGCTACTCTTAGCAAGTCCTCAATAACCTAATTACAATGTAAGAAGGGAATAGAACTCTCCATCTAGAACTCCGTGTGAGAAATGCAATGTCTTGGACTTTGAAATTTCCTTAAGTTATTTCTCTTGATCTCTTTCAGCACTCGTTAGTAAACTCTTCAGTCCATTATATAGCATTGATCGTTGGCTTACTTTCCTTGGTTTGGATGCTTGGACTTGCCATGATAAATTCAAATTACTTTCTTTGCTTGGCACCACTATAGCTTCGTCCATTGGCTCTCTTGAATGCTTGGACTTGCCATGATGAATTTGAAATACCTTCCTTGCTTGGCAATACTTATACGTTGGTCAAATTAAAAGATCTCAAGAATATTTTATAATTCAGAAAGTGCACATCTAGAATATATTCGATCAACACCTTAAAGTGGTGAGACACGGAAATAATATATTTGCACCTTTTCAAAGCAAGAGGGTGATGTGTTACCTTTTAAAGGGCTATCAATTTATTCGAATTATCTATTAGAGCAATTAATAACAAATGACAAATTATGGTAAGAAATATTAAGGCCTTGCTCAAACAAAACACACGCCAGTCAATCGACCGAGATTATCTCATTTGATATATTTGGTAAGAAAACCTTTTTATTACCTTTTTATAAACGCTTTGGTCAAACCATGCAAAGGGGCAAGAATATTTAATATACCAATTAGTCTACGTGGGATGACAAACTAGAACTTCTGGGTAATAAGGAGCAGTTCGGTCTATTGGTTAGAACGCGTCGTAATTCAAGAATCTTATCTACCTGCATGGTTAGTAATAGATAAAACATAGAAGAGTTCTTCCGTTGGTTAGTCATCAACAAAATTAACTGATCAACAGTATGTATTTCTTAAATTTTTATTTATTCAATCTTAAATATAGGCACATACATACCTGATTAAATTATAATCCCTTGCAAAAAAATTTACAATCAATTACGTTCCATCATATATTAAATATGGCATTTCATTTCAAGCAACTGTATACACTATACTCTATCAAATGTTGTTATGCTAACATCTTAGTCTATGACGACTCTCTAGCTATGTGCTTCATGAATCCAAAAAAAGACAAATCAAATCGAATATTTCATGTAGAAATACTCCTCTGTCCCGTAAAGAAGTTCCCGTTCGATTTATGATGTTTGACCGACAATAAAGCAATTTGATCCCTGTTCACACTCGAATTATTTTTAGTAAATAAAATTTACATATTTAGAAACTACATTACAACCAACCGCTAGAAAGCCTTATCATGAAAATTTAGATTTGATAAAAGTTTGATATATAAAGTAAAATATTATGAATAATGATTTAAGTTGACCAATGAATAGTGAAGGAGAACTTCATTTCGGGACGGAGGTAGTAGTATTCAATTTGACGTATGTTTAAACTTTACAATCACTCGATATTGTACGCGTAATATTTTAACTACAACACTTCAAGTCGGCACTTGGCTTCTCCAGCGAGACCCATCATCTCTCGTCGGTGATTGGCTTCTCCAACCCATCATTTCCCTATGGCGCTTGACTTCTCCAGTGAGCGTTTCTCCAGCGAGCTGTCGGCACTCCTCTTCCCCATCGAGCGTTTCACTGGCGTTTCTCCTAGATATGCTCTGAACTTAATAAGTTTGTTGATTTTCTCTTTTATGTGATTAATATTTCAATTATTCTGTTGGTCTTCTTTTTTTGCGAATTATTTCTATGGGTTAGTCATAAGAATATGTGTTTAAAAGAAAATTGTCCAAACACTCTAAATTGATTCCATGTTACATACATACAGATCAAAGAATCAATACCAAACACTCTAAACAAAATCTCTTTCTCAAACACCGGAAAATTCTGATTATGCTTCTCACTTAAAAAAGAAGCAGAAATAGAATCGGTTCCAAACACCCCCAAACTACATGCATGCTTTTGTTAGATAGAAAAATAATGTGGCTTGGGCACAAATATTTGATGTTTTTTCATAATTTATTTATGGAACAAACTTTATTTATGTATCAGTTACATATGTTATTTAATTATTTTACCACTTGATTTTGGGCATATATATATATATATATATATATATATATATATATATATATATATATATATATATATGAGTGTGTGTGTAATATGCAATAAACAAATGTAGGTAGGTAGCTAAGTGGAGTCGAGGCAAGCTCCTAAACAATCCATGTTGGTGGTGCCACACTCGGTCCAGCACCCCATGGCTTCGGTGGTGTCGGTATTGAAGCCGCAGGTGCCACCGCAGGAAAGAATGCCGGTCCCACACGTGACCAGGCAGCGACCTAGTTGTATTGCCGTTGACGAAATTGGATTCACGCCGCCACCGTTAGCTTCAAGAGTTTTCGCCGCCGCCGCCTCTGCAGTATTGCATGCCACCCTCAACACTACCAAGGTCGTCAACCCTATTATTGTTGCTACAGTGAAAGGTTTCTGAACCAAGGCCATCATAAATGTACGTACTACTCTCAAAATTAAGAGCTAGCTAGGAGTTCACTCAATTGGTCAATATTATTAAAGTTATATATGTGTATATGTTAGTATATGCATGTGAATTATATAAGCTAAAGTCTTTCTCTCTCTCTATATATGTGAGCACATATGGGGATGTATATTTAGTGTGTGTTGTAGTTGAGATCATATCACGCTGCACGAAATGTGGGCAAATTGTTTTCGAGTTTTGCTAACAACCCACCGTTTCACTTCATGCAAATTATGTGACAACTAATTCCATAACATATTGGGTTTTGTTTAATAATGTTAAAAACCTTACTTTTTGACATCAAGTTGGTCAAAGTTTTAATGGAAATACGGATTTGAAGCAAAATTTAAAGTTGTATTATACTATTATCACAACGAGGAGAGAAAAATATAAATTAACATTGTGAAAAATAAGCAGGGCCGACCATGGGGGCAGTTCACCTAGACATTTGTCTAGGTCCCATAAATGTTAGGGGGCCAGGGGCCTCCAAATTTATAAACAAGTCTATTATTATATGAGCTGAGGTATTTCCTTCTATAGTTTGATTACTGAGCCACTTGATTTTAAGAGCTAGGCCACTAGGACTCTAGGAGTAGAATGTTTAGTGCAGTGCGTATTGTTATATACTACCTATTTGTGATTGTATTAAAATAATAAAATCTTAAATGTATAATTGTATTATTATATTTAGTATTGTATAATTGTATTATTATATTTAGTATTGATTTAAACGCAACATTTACTCAAATAACTCAATTATTTATTTAGTAGAGCAAAACAAATAATTGATTATAATAATTATATCTGTGAATGTTTTAAAACTAATTAATAAAAACATTATATAGTTGAAATTGTGATGTGTGATTATATGGTCAGGTGGATTAATTTTTTGTTTGTGAATCATTTACTTATCTATTATTCCTTTGTATGTAGTATTATTTTGCACTTCGTGTGAAATTACAGGTTTTGTTATTTCTAATTGACAATATAATGTTCTTACTAATTTTGTCTTCAAAAAGCTAGAAAAGTAAAGATGTTTCCTTTTGGACCGAAAATTGCTGGTCTAGGATGTTTTTACTTGGACTGTAATTTGCTGGTCTGGTCTGAACTGGTCTGGACTGGTAATGTCTGATCCCTTTGTATTTTTATAACTATCCAAGTCTGGTCTGGTCTGGTTTGAACTGGTCTGGTCTTGTCTGATATGGCCTGGTCTGGTCTGGGATGAATTACAGTCCAAGTAAAAACATCCCTAGTTTGGTCTGAACTGGTTCGGTAAATGTCTATCTCTATGTACTTTTTAATTATGAAAGTCTGGTATGATCTAGCCTATTTAAATCTGGTCTTATTGTGTCTGACACTGAAAACAGTTCAAAAGAATATATTAATAGGAGCCATACATGCTTCATTTTGTATGTAATTTACTTGATATTATATTTTTATATTGTTAAGCTGAATAAAATTACATATTTAAATAAAATGTCTATTTGACTTCCTAGGGCGGCCTCCAAAATGCTCCAGACGGCCCTGTGAGGATGTATCATCTTCTACGTGGATTTAGATGAAGATGATGTTAGCGATGAAAGTGCATACTATTTAGAACTTCCACGCATTACAAACGATTCCGGCCTCCGAAGTTCTTTTTAAAATGAAAAATTGTTTTTACTTTTAATCTAGCTATTATTATCATAAAAAATTGCATATTTAAAACCGACTTTTGGGCATGAGAATTCAAAAAACATTCACAATGAAAATCCAAAATACTCGCTCTATTGCCTACAAAAATTGTTTCAAAAGAATGAGTTTTTATGTGTTATTTTAGTTTATTAAACTTTTCAATGTGAATTAACATCATATTTTAACTTTCTTATATTTATTTTTTTATATTTACAGGTTATTGGGGTTAATAATACGGAGTAAATGGGAATTTTCAGGGTCTGAATATTTTGCCCAATTTGAAGGGAAAAAGAGCTTCCATAACATTTATGAAGCCTTGACACCTATATACATTGTAACCAGGGTTACCAAAAAAGAGCTTCCATACCGAAAGGATGAATTTTTAATACGAAAACAAGAACAAAAACGAGATAACAAATGTTGTCTACAAATTAAGAATGTTTCAAAATCTATAGATTTTTATACTATGTTATTTTAGGATATGAAACTTCCCAATGTGCGTTAAATAGATGTTTCAATATCCCCATATTTTATTTTATACATTTACATATTACTCTTTGTCGTCTTTGATCATAATATTTGGATTCAATTTTTCAGCCGTGCATCGCACGAGTGAGAATATTATTAGAGTAATAATATTGAACATTTGAACTATATTGACATCAGAGAGCAAAATATTATAATTCATCAATATCTTTAATACATAAATGGGATGAAAATTAATTACTAAGAGAGGATTCTCTCTTTGTGTGTATGTATACAAGATTAGCATTAACATTATACTTATAATGATAGGAGAGAGAGAAGTGGGAAAATTTTGAGAGGAGATTTTCCGGTATAGTATGATTTTTTAATATTATTTTAATGAAGTAGGCAGGGGTATTTAAAATATATTATGATTTACTGTTAAAAATGTTATGATTTCATAAGTTACGTAATTATTTTTTATTGATTTATTCTCAATTAAGGTCAATAACGAATCAAAATGGGGACATAGATCAAGGTTGTTAAAATCGTATTTTTAGATCGAATCGGGACAAAGATTTAAAAATCGCATCGTAAAATCGAATCGTAAATCGTAAGATTTTATAAAGGAATTAAATATATATGACTAAAAGTATTATGCTAAAGAAAACATATAGTTTAACATTCATTTGTCAAATTATTGCAAATTTAAGACTATAAGTCAAATCATTATATGCTCAGGTCTTACACAGATGTCTTAATTAAAGTGAACAAAATAATTGATGATATGTAACCAAACAACAAAAGTCACTTAACTCCGTATAATCAAGTTAAATATTAGTTAAAATAGTACTAGCATAACTATATATGTGTTTACCAAATCAAGTCCTATATGTGCATTTTGATACTTTATATTCCTATTAATTAATCAACAAGGTTGTTATTGGTGAGTTGCTAAAGCTAAGTGCTAACTAGGTGGATAGTACTATACGTATTTTCATTTACCCGCTTAGATCTAAAGTTTTTAAAAAAACTAGATTTTTCACCCGTGCTTCGCACGGGATGCATTTAGCAAACAATAATTTTTTTGAAAATATATAGAAATGTTATGATAAAGATTGTTTCTATTAAATTAAAAATGAAGATAAAAAATCCAAATTACTCCGATTCTCGTGTAGTACTATATACTTCATTCTAAACAACATTTAAAGTCTATACTCCGTAATCGTAAACGCTTATATATAAAAATAATTGTAAAGAATTATGTTCATACAGTTTGGTTGCGACAATTTATGTAAAGACAATCATTACAAATATCATATACTTTCTCCTATGGGTGGACTCGGGCCGGGTGGCCTGACCCGGAACCTGCCCGAACCGGCAATGTTCCGGCCCGGTCAGTGACCGGTTCGGGTAGGCCCGGTCCGCTGGGGTTCCGGTCCGGGCTCGGGCCCCTCAAAACGTGAATCGGCCCGGCCGGTTCGGGCTTGGTCCGGGCCATTTTATTTTATTTTTCTTTTTTTTATTTGAATTTTTTTTAAGTTTTTGGGTTGGGCTGGGTATTTTTGGTCATTTGAGATGGTTTGGGGGTGGGGGGTTAGGGGTTAATTAGGAAAAGGCAAAAAAAAAAAAAATTGAACCAAGCCCGGCCCGGACCCGGGGTTACCCGGCCGGTTCCGGGCCTCCCCTTTCCTGAACCGAGGCCCGGCCGGGCCAAGGCCCGAACCGGGCCCGAACCGGCCCGAGTCCAACCATACTTTCCCCGTCCCGCCAAGATTGCCTTTTCTTTCCTTTTTGCTGTTTCCCACTAACATTGTCTTATATCAAATTTGATACGGAGTAAAATTTATGCGATTCTAAATTATTGTTACTTGATCAATTTAATATATACGACATAAATCCACTTTTTTAATAACTTCATCACCTCCTAATTCCCAACGTTAGCGGAAGGGATGTAGCAACTTTTAACAAAGAACAATTAAAGCAATAGCGGTTGACCAACCATCATAGTCACATTAAATAGATTTGAACGCATATGAAACTCTTAGGATGTTTTTAATTAGATTGAAATTTTCTAGTTTGACCTGATCTGATCTAGTCTGATTTTGTCTAGTATGGTAAATGTCTGGGTGTTGTGTTAAATTTATCAAGATCTTGTATGAAATGGTCTGACCGATTCTAGGGCTTAAATAAATCCAAGTAGAAACAATTTTACTAAATAAAAAAATTATATGCTAAGCAGAAATACATAACAATATCATCAAGTAAAAATTATATGCTAAGCAGAAATACATAACAATTTTACATAACAAAATAAAAATTATATACCAAGAACTTCTCCCTTAAGTACAAAGCTTCTCCATCTCCCTTACTTGGTGTATTTCTCAAGGCTGACTTTTATCCGTTTGAACCTATCATCATTATAATCATCATCTCCTATTGATTTTTCCCCAATAATGCACCTCCAACCAGGCAAGTAAACTGCTGTCTTCCAGGGCAGAGCACCCGCCCTGCTAGATATTTAGTGTCATTTGGTTGGAGGGCGTCACTGGCTACACAAACGTTGTTCTTGGCAATGTCTCCTAACAACACATTCCATGGGAGTCTCAGATTTAGCTTAGAACTGGAAATAGCGCAGTGAGTTTTCTCAAGAATGTCAGTCACTTCCTAAGAACTGGAAATAATGCAGTGAGTTTAAACAAATATTGATTAAACTCTATAGAGACTAATAGAGTAAGTAGGTTCTAGAGTTTAATATCATTTTTCTTAAAAGCATAATATCATACTACTTTTGTTAAACAGAGAAGTAAATTATTAAATATAGACCAAGTTTTCATATGCATTGTATATTTGTTAAAGAACTAACAGAGCAATAGTGCAGTATGATTACCATAGTTATTAGTTTCTTGAGTTTTCAAGTTCTTTCCATTTAAATGTCTAAGTTTTGAATGTCTACTTCAGAAGTATCTGCAAAAAGACATGAGACTATGCTATACAATCTTATTTATAACCATTCAAATCCCACATAGTAGGGATATCTCTGTATTAGTACAAATTTAAAAAACATTAGAATAAGATCTAATGTACGAACTTGTTTCTACAAAAGGCAGTATTAACTCTGATAGCTCTTATCAAATGCATCTTTATACTTCGTTGTTTTAGTGCACTCATACTTCGTTGTGTAAATAATAGAAAAGACAGAGAAGAAGAAGACATATTATTCTAACCAAAAAGGGAAGTGGCATCATCAAAATCTTTTATATTGATCATCTAGGGAGCCTAACACTTTCGGATCTTCAGGACTAAACCTCAACAACGTCAAAAGAGGCCTTATTATTGTAATGGGCCTCCTAAATCCAAAGCTAGAAGCCCAAATTCACATTTACTCCTATAAATAGCCCCGAAAAGAGAGGAGGTCATGTTTGTAGTATGTATCTTCACCCTTCGACAGGGGAGTACAGGTTGATTTATTGCTACATAGGTTAGGAGAATGGGGCAAGGCATCATAAGTATTTGATAGGTTGTCGCGGTGGTGGTAATGTGAAATGGAGAGAGGTTTGCACTCTTAGTTATGCACCAAGTTTCCCGGCAGCTCCTGTGATCATTAATGACATTATTCTACTGGGTAGTTAACAAGACCAAAGCAATCAAGACACATTCTTTTCCTTCTGTATGTGCAGCATCTGTACCAAACACCGGGATTGATGACAAAGCACCAACTTGTTCTCCGGGTTTTGTCACATTCTTTTCCGTTAATAAACGCATTTATTAAGGGTGTGCAATTCGGAAAGACTCAGATTAGTCCCTTGCTGCCCTGAAGACATGTTTGCTTTTGCTCTGTGAAATTGCTGAAGCCACTGGTCTGGAATGATGGGTTTAATCGCCAGCGCTAAATAAAAAGTAATTTTCCCACTTACACGAAATTGTAATACTTCGTATACTCCAATTATCCAATATACTAAACGATAGCAGGGAGTCCAGCGTGCCAATTATCAAAATCGTATGTCAATTATTAGGTTTCAGAACTGCATTGCTGAAAGAGTGTAATGACGGAAGGTTTGGTCGGATTACAGATTAGGCATTAATGCATTATGTTTATCTCATATTTCAAATTTCTGCTCTCCAATGACTTCCTCCATAATGATATGTCGGAGTTATGTAGGCACATTCTTTTGCTTTTTCTTTTTCAATAATAGAAAATAAAACCCATAACTTCTGAATGAGTATATGTACTTTTGTTTACATGTAGTATGTCATGGTTGTGGTATGATATTTCGTTTGAAAATATGACCCTCAGTTTATCAAGATCAGCAGTTACAAATATATGGTGGTTACAAATTTTATGTATTTACTGTTTTAGTCTAATTTCAACTTTTAGCTTCAATACAAGCAATGATAGTAAAACCCGTTGTAGAGCTTGGGTAGAAATGTGGATTTTGCTGCATCAGGCTTTCAGGCAAACCTATTATTGCCTTTGTGTCTTGCAAACCTTTATATAATAGGTTATTCTAGCCTTCTAGGAACTTGGAAGTACAACTATAAGGGTATTTTTAGACCTGCACCAAACCGGCCCGGCCCGCCCAACTGGCCCACACAATGGTAGAAACAATAGTTGAAGTGTTTGGGTGGAAATGCATAAATTACCCTGATTTACTCCTAGAATCATTTTTTTAGAACCCGGGGGAGACCAACTTCTGAAAACTGATTTAGGGTGTAGGCCCGTTCGAGTCCATAAATGCGCCCCGCTACATTTATGTGTGTGTGTATATACACACTTATTTATTTATTTATTTATTTATTTATTTATTTATTTATTCATTCATTCATTCATTCATTCATTCATTCATTCATTCATTCATTCATTCATTCATTCATTCATTCATTCATTCATTCATTCATTCATTCATTCATTCATTCATTCATTCATTCATTCATTCATTCATTCATTTATTTACGTTTCCGTTTTTAATATTTCAAAATTTTATTAATCTTGAACTAATTGGTTTTGGACTTTGTATTTTGGCTAATTTGGGTATCTTTCGCTAGAATATATAAATGTGCATTTTTGCGACTAATAAAGTGGATCATTTTGAATTGTTTTCATTTTAATGGGAATAAGTGTTTTCACCAAAGCTTAGGGATTTATATTATTTATCTTATGATTTGCGTAAATAACTTAAGTAAATCAGAATCTACAAATTTACAGTACATTGCATAATTTGAGAGTATTCCATATTATTTATGATTTTATAATTTTATTAGGGTGCATTTGTTAGTAAGAAGGGAACCAGAAGAATATTTTGCGAGTACATGTTACCAATTAATATAGTTTAGTATTCTCGTTTACGCAGCCTCGGATCGGGGTGTAGGTTTGGATATGATTATTAAAACTGCTTCAGGTCCTTTCGAGAGCAGAAACAAAAATTGAAGTGTTTGGGTGGAAGTGGAGAAATTACTCTGATTTACTCCTAGAATCATTTTTTTAGAATCCGGGAGAGACCAACTTCTGAAAACTGATTCTGATTCTGCTTCTTTAAAAAAGAAGCAGCGGCAGAATGAGTTCCAAACACCCCTCGAAATACTGATGAATTTCTTAACCGCCCGCCTCAAATATTCTTCTTGTTCCGCCCCTGGCAAACTAAAGTTGTTAATCAATTATAATCCCTCTATCCCATCTCTCTATTATTCATCCAAATTCTTCAGACTGAAAATATTTAATCAATCTTATGTCCGAGTTTATATCCAGAAAAATTTCAGCCTTTTCAATTTCATTTAATACATTCCATTCCGTATTGAGATCTGCTACAATAATTTCGATTCCGTAGTAAGGTTACAGAATTGAACTTTAATTTATGCAACCTGTACGTCCTTGATCTATACGATCTAATTGAGATGGGTGATACTGTCATTTATTCTTCCATAATTCGAAACACTGATAACAGTTTGTATATTCACTCTTCACTCTTTGCAGGTACCAGGTGACTCCCCACTCTATCATTAAGATATTGGTGGCCCTTAGAGATAAGGTACATACTTTTTAAAACACTAAATTCTTGGATGCAGATTTGGTTTCTATTACACTATGGTTATGATTTGGTTTGAACCAAATTCCTTGTCTCTGAGATTATTGTTTGAACTTAGTTGTTTCCAATCAATTCTTTTTGTGTTCAGCACATATTTCAAATTTAGAAGTTATTCTCGAAACCTGAAACTAGAAGTTGGATAAATTCTGTGGTTCAGAAACTTTTGATTACTAAATAAAATTTAGATCTTTAAGCTTAGCTGTACCTTGGATTTTAAAGTTATGTTTGTTGTTCCTACCTGGCTTTTGTTTATAATTTTATCTGATTTTCAATTCGATCTGAGGCCTTTCGATGAAAGGGGAGAGTTGAGAATGTTCCTCTTGAAATAGCTGACATGGCCAAACTATCAGTTTGCAATATACCATTGTAGTTCAAGTCATCAAATAATTGATCTATAAATTCTAATTTCTTCCGGTACACTCGTTTTCGCCTTCGCTCTTCATTTTTTCTCATGTTTGCTCTCCATTCTCTCGCTCATTTTATATTTCTCTCGTTCGCTTTCTCCTGAGCACTGGGCCGGCCCGGCCCACTCTAGCTCTGCCCGTGTTGCTCTCCCTCTCTGTTGTCTGCTCTCCTTGCTATCCCGTCAGCTTCTTCTTTTATTTTCTATCGGTTCTGTTCTAAAAATCGTCCCAGGCGTCCGACTAGTCCCCGCTTAGGCGCTAGACAGTGGTCGGGCGCCCTGATTTCCGTTTAGACGCTCCAACTAATTGGTTAGCCGTCTAGGTGAATTAGTCGGCCGCCTATAGCACCCAGTTTCCCACCTAGAGCGCCTTATCGGCCGCTTAGGCTGTCCAGATTCGCCGAACATGACTTTATTTTGTAATTTTAATTTTCTAAGCGCTATACATACTTTAAGTTTAGCCATGAATATAAATAAATGAAGTTGTAAATTAAGATAAACCGATATATGTTTGTACATATACCCAAATTTTATAATTATTTATAGGGAAAACTGTCAAATAGGTCCTCGAACTTTCATTAAAAGGTCAATTAAGTCCTTATATAGGAGGCTCTGTCCGGCCGTCGCGATTTGGCGCGGTTCCCGGTGGAATTTTTTTATGAAATTTTTTGAGCATCTTATTCATCAAGTCTAGTTTCGTCATACCAAATTTCAGCTAAAACTTCAATCGGGAACGCATTCAAATTAATTCTTAAAGATAACTGCGCATTTAACTACGCAGTTATCTTCAAGAATTAATTTGAATGCGTTCCCGATTGAGTTTTAGCTGAAATTTGGTATGAGTAAACTAGACTTGATGAAAAACATGCTCAAAAAATTTCATAAAAAAATTCCACCGAGAACCGCCCCAAATCGCGACGGTCTGACAGAGCCTCCAATATAAGGACTTAATTGACCTTTTTATGAAAGCTCGAGGACCTATTTGACAGTTTTCCCTTATTTACATTTATAACATAATGAAGTCAAGTGATTAGTTATCATATACTAGTACTACATATGATTAAATGTGATGATTCTATCATTCATGTTTGTTAATGTATATGTATATGTTTTTATACACACAAAAAGTACAACATTACTGATCATATGTATGAAAAAATATAGATAAAAATGCAATTTTTATGTCTCTAACTAGTCCCTGATTAGGCACCTAGGCGCTCGGCTGGCGCCCGACTAACACCTAGCGCCTGTTAGAACATTGGATATCAGAGAAGAAGAAAATAAAATAGAGCAAACAAAAGAAGAAGCCATCAGGATAACAGGGAGAGCGGACAACATAAATATAAGATGTATAGCGGAGAGAAGGGAAAGCTGACGAGAAAAATATAAGAAGAAGAGCGAAGGTGAAAAACGAGTTGACTAGAGGAAAGTAGAGTTTATAGGTTAATTATTCGATGACTTGGACTGCAATTGTATAATAGAAACAAATAGTTTGGCCATGTCAGCTATTTTAATGTTCTGACAGAGCAAATGTACTTGATCGACTATAGAACTACAAATTCATGTACTTTAAAATTTCAAATGCAATAAGAAGCACTACTTACTCCCATCGAACCAACTTCATGTACCATTTTGACCATCATCTCATTTTGATTTCAATGGCTGAGCTTATTATATACCTTTGCATTTCGTTGTCCTAAATAAACCTAAATAAACCATGGACATTAAAACGCATAAAGATGACACCCATCTCTGAGGGCCCTTAGAGTCGCCCCAATAGTTAGTCGTGTGGATATAGATAAAACTTTAAAATTACATACTGACAGATAGATTGTGAGGTTCTGACTCAAGTACTTAGTCTGGATTTGAACCCAACACTTTTCTCTTGTAGTGCTTTCTTCCCACTAGTTGAGTTACGCCCATGGGTGATATTAAAATGCTAAGATGCTAAATAGGGCTAAATCTAAGTTTTTTGTTCGGGGGATTCGGGATGAAAACAGAAGTATGGATAATACCTAACACTACTATAAGTTCTTGCGTCATAGAAATTCGACATCATGGTTTAGAAATATTTGAAGCAAAATGTGACATATTACTAGAAAGCAACAGTATATTGGGAAAATTTACGAACATCGTAAAATTCCAAAACAAAAGTACTATTTTTTTTTTACATAAATAGGATAACTTACGGTCATCATAATTACTGCTACATTTCCCACTTTCCCAGTGCTAGGCTTTAATATGGCTATATAACGCCATAATGTGTGGTATTTTTCAAGAATGGCCTTATATACCCTACCGGGGAATACAAACATAATGCTCCTATGTAACGTAACGTCATAAAACAATTTTTTATTTTTTATTTTTGAATTGCATGATTTGCATCGTCGTGCTTCTAAACCCTTTGCAAATGATTTTTCGACATCTACTAATGGCCTTCGAATTTATGATCACATGGTAAACTTGTTTAGTGCCTTGTACGTAATGTTGTGGTCGAAATATATTTTCATCAGTTAGCCATGCACATACTTTGGTTTAGAAATTAAGTTACTCTTGTCAGATGGTACATTTTGGCCCCCACGTTTTTTTATGTGTTGTGAATTCGTGTGATATCCTGTCCACTTTTGCATTCCTCTTCGTTCTATACTTGGAAGTTGGAATTGAAACATTTTTAATAAAATGTTCAATTGATTGATTGTAATTTTATAAAGAAAGCTCAACAAGTCTTTGCTCCATTTATGTAGGATGGTATTGGAATGCATAGAATGGATTTTTCACACATGGAATGACTATATTCAGAGGAGGAAAGTTGGATATATTCCTAAAGAAATTGTTTTCGAAATACTGAGTAGGCTTCCGGCAGATGAAGTTCTCAAATGTCAACGGGTCTCCAAAGAATGGAAGGAAATTATCATCCACTCTCCTCTATTCTCTCAAACCCAACTCTCAAGAGCTTCTCCAATTATCCTTGTACAATACGTATGTCCGTTTTTAGGTGCGGGCAAAATGCAATTATATTTTCTTGATGAAGGTGCCAAAAAGAAGGATAAGATGATGGAAAATGTGTACACTAAGCCCACACTCAGCGTGCTAAAGGTCCTATGCATTCTTATTTTTAGCTATAATGGGTTTCTCATATTCGACGAACATATAGCGTGGAATCACACATCCGAGTTCTTTATTTACAACCCGATTACACGAGAAGAAGTAGCCATCCGAAAACCGGTGAAGAGAGGAGGTCGTGTTTGTGGTATGTATCTTCACCCCTCGACAGGGGAGTACAGGTTCATTTATTGCATATTTGGGGAGAATGGGGTGGGGCGGCATAAGTATGTGATAGGTTGCCGTGGTGGTGGTAACGTGAAATGGAGAGAGGTTTGCTCTCTTAGGTATACACCAAGTTTCCCGGCAGCTCCTGTGATCTTGAATGACATTATTTACTGGGTTGTTAACAAGACCAAAGCAATCAAGACACAGTCTTATCCTTCTGTCTGCGCAGCATCTGTACTCACTTTTGACACAGAAACTGAAGAGTTACGAGTTATGCCCCATCCTGGCCGCACATGTACTAATAGCAATAGTTGTCAACTTTATGACACTGAAAATATACAACTCCTAGAAATGGAGAACAAGCTGGTGTTTTGTCATCAATCCTGGAAATGCATACGCATTTGGATGCTTGAAGACCCTATAGAGTGGCATTGGGTTATGAGGTATAGTGTCAGCTTTCACTGGGTTTCTCCTTACTTTAAGGGTATATCTGCTCGCCGGGAAATAAAGCTGTTGAGAATCCGAGATGGGGAACTCCTACTTTGTTGGTATACCACCGGTTTGTTTTTATATCACCTAGAACTGCATACCGTGAGGAAACTGGACCTGGGAATTAAAAAAACCGGACCTTATGGGACCTACACTTGTGATAGCTTTGCCTATTGTAACTTCGCTTCGTACACCAAAAGCTTGGAGTCGTGGACAAAGGATGCATGATAATGTTTGTTTGTTTGGACTAACCATGCATTTTATGTCAATTTATTTTTTTTTAACTTGTGCAATACGTAGTATAATATATTATGGACATGGCAATGTATTTAACATTTACTTACATAATCTTTATATTTAATATTAATAATTTGTTTTAAAGTTTAAACTAAGTACTTAGTACGGGATCTCTAAACAGCTCACATTTTGCCGTTTCAAAAATTCAGAAACAATTTTGGAACTTCATTTTTGTAATAAAAAAGATTGGTGAATACCATTCCCAAGTTTTTATTGGGAACAAGGCGACTTAAACTGATATTAAAGCATTAGCAAGAGAACAAGAAGATAAAATGATCCCTTCCAACCACCAACCCTCGAACCACACTTAGAGTCAATCACCCTAGATAAAGCAATATGGCCCGTCGATCTTGTAGTGGGTCTAAATGAGCTTAACGTGGTAAGAATAGACTCCGCATCGCCTCAACCTAATGCAGGAGTGTGACTGAAGTAAAAATAAACAATGACAAAGAAAATAAAAGTAGTGGAAACCCAGCTGCATCCTCCCACAACTGACAAACACCCTCCGGCCTCTGCTATCTCGGACCAGCCTCAAGTCTCTCGGTGGGCCTAGAGGTCTAGACCTGCCCCTCTTTGTTTTTTTAACAAATCCAAGGCCATATTGTCCGCTTCACCTTCCGCAGTCTACTCTTCCTCCCACATTCTTCTTCGTTTCTGCTGCCTTGAAAGTCCTCTCGTAGCTCCGGTTCTGCTCTCCTTAACCCCCACAGGTCCAGTGGCCTCATCTCTAACACTTGTGATACTCTGTTTCCTTCCCAGATGGTTCAGAGAGCTTCCGCTTAAGTCTTCTCACACGAGTCATTTGTTAGCCTTCATCATTTGAGCTTTCCCTCCCCTCCATCATAGAGACTAACCCCAAAAAGTTTAGCCATCACTTTGTTCTCACACTCGTAAAGGACAAAACTTGTTGGCATGACCAATAATATCACAAGCAAAACAAAAATTCAGCAGTTTTTCATATTTAAAGTCCACTCTATACCCGACTTCCCTCCCTTTCCCTAGCGTCGTACCCACTTTCAAAGTTTTACCAACATCCATACAGACCCTAAATCTCATGCAAGAATTCCAACGTTCTTCAAACTGACTTTCGTCAAAACTAATAACTTTACCAATGAAATTACCAACTCTCCTAGCAACTCCAAAATTCATATAATCATATGGTATGTTATGTACATGCACCCAAAATTCAGCCTCATTCAATGAACCCTAAGAGGGACATCCCCTGGTTTCAAAGCCATCAAAATGAACAGATTTTGTTCGTATAGCCACGGTCCGCCATCTAGAACATGTTCCATGTCAACAATATGATAGTTATTGTTGGGTGTGTTTCGGAAAATAAAGAAAATTAATTAAAATAAATTAATTAAATAAAATGACGAAAGAAAACAAGAAAAGAGATGGAGCAGAATTTGTCAAAGCTCGTGCTACGCACGATGTCCTTAAAACGTATTTGTTGCCTCCCACGGTGCTAGGAGCGTTGCAACAATAGTTTCCCAGGATACGATGACAACGAACTAGTGTTTGAGCACTCAAACAAAAGTTCCAGCGAACGAGAACAAAGACTGAACACAGAAGGAAATTTTCGGAATGCTAGCAGTGTGTTTTTGAGGTGCAAAACGCGTATGAATTCGTGTAAGAACGTGTGTTGTTGCAAACCACCTGCCAGCCATTATATAGGAGGATTTGTTGTATGAAAATAGTGAATTAATGGACCTGAACGTTGGACATCAATGACCAGTCCGTTGGGCATTGAATCGTCCATGAACTGTCCATTTAACGCTGCATTAAAAGATAAGAACGTTGGGCATTAATTGTTGTAACGTTTCAGAAGTGCGAGAGAAGACCTCCATCAGAACTCCCCGGGAGGGGTTCTGATCGGAGGCCAACTCTGATCCGCGGCCATCAGAGTACCCCCAACTCTGATGGGCGGCCATCAGAGACCCCCAACTCTGATGGGTGGCCATCAGAGTACCAACGAGAGGGGTTCTGCCATCAGAAGACCATCGAGGTGTTCTGATCCGAGCACTTCTGCCGCTGGGAAAAAATTAAACGTTTCGGGAAGAAAACAAAAATTAATCGTATCTCTTGAGAGATAGATTTTTGGGCGACATTCGTGTCCGCAGGTCGCCCGCGCACGCAAGTCGCGGTTTTTCTTCTCCGATTTCGGGATTTGATTTGCACCCCCCCTGCGCGCGTGGAGAGAGCCTCTACCCTAAGGAATCTTAACTCCTTAAGGGGGGAGTCCCTTTATAAAGGGTTGCAAATCCCTTGGGTTTTCCGGTGTGGGAAATTAACACTAGAAACCCATCCTTTTTCCCAGTTTTTCCATTCTAACGGGTAAACTTCGAAAAGCGATTTCTCATTCACCCGTTATCCGTTTTGAGCGTACCATATATCGAATTGTAGCCCTTAACAAGGAAAATCCGAAACCACTTTGACCCGACCCAAGTCGGAAGTGGACCCCACTCAAAAAATTGCCCCAAAATAGCCATTTAATGCAATTTTTCACACATTTTTCCAACAATTCCTTTGCCGGGAAGCCAGATAGACGCCATGAGATCCCTGAACACAGGAAACTTCACTATTTTGTCTTGAGAAAAGTGCCAACAACCGGAAAGGTGTTGTTGCGGTTCGAAGCATCTTCCTCGCCATCGACCTCGTCGTCGTGAATCAGTTCGTCCTCATCACCACCGAGCACCATGTTATTTGTTGACCATCTCCTCCATCTCTTCCATGATTGTTCGATGACCTGATGCGATCGAAATCTGACTATGCCTGTTAGCCCTCCAAAACGACTGAACCGATGCCTTGCTGCGTTTGAAACTACCCAAACTCGTCGATCAAAAACCTGCAACGCACCAATGTCGCACCATTTTTCATTTCTTTTGGAGATTATGAGTGGACATTAGTGTTTCCCATGAAATTTCTTAATATTTTTAGGGAAAAATCATGCAATAGAAGAAAATGTTTTGGAATTCTTAAATGAGATTACTGTGATTTTGTTCTCCAAAAATTGTCAAACTTGAAAAATGATATCATGTTTAAGGCTTGTAATATCAAAACATGTCTCTATTTAGTATTTACTTACATTAATGAAATATTAACATAATAATCTCATTTTGAAATTTATATACGCGTTTACTATGGGTGGGCAATTCGGTTTACAACGCGGTTTTCATCGGTTTCGATGCGGTTTTGGTTTTGGAGATGTTGTACCAAATTAAAAGCATTTGAGTTTCGATTTGGTTTTGGTCCAGTTTCGGTTTGGTTTGGTTTCCATTTGGCTTGGTTTCGGTTTTGTTTACTAAAGTGAAAATTATTAGGCTCAATTAAGTTCGATTTGATTCGGTTTCATATGTTTATTTTTTATTTCATCAAGTTCTAGAATTAGAAAATGAAAATTTGTAATTGATCGCATCTTCTTTTATTTATTATTTAAATAAAATGTAAAGGAAAATAAAAGATATAAAAACAATTAATATAATTTTATAAATTAACTCCTAAGTTATCTTACTGAGACTCATAACATGAAAACGTCTAACATATTTTCATCACTACAAAAAGATTCACTTCTCACAAAAATAAATGTATACTTGATTAGATTTTATAATATCACATAAAATATTCAACAATAAACTAAATGAATCGGCAGTAAAAATGTTGTAAAATTCACAATTGTATTCAAATGAATCATGTAAAATGCATAGCGTACTCTAGTTTAACTTAAATTAATATAAATGTAATTTGATGTTGTTTTGCCAAACATCTTTTCATACGTGTAGAGTGCAAAATATAACAAATACAAGTATGTTCTATTAGCTAACTTTGACATAATAATGTATGAAATGTGTAAAAGTTAAAATGATACGTAGTACTCCCTTTGTCCCATTTATACTTTACACTTTCTTTTTTGAATGTCTGATTTAAATCTTTATGTTCCTTTTTTTGGTAACCTTTTTACGTTAAAGTATCCAAACAACCCTTCACTGTCCTGTTGTTTCGTTCTCTGCACAAGACCTTCTGGACAACATCATATTCTTGTTGTGTCGCCATTTTGTGAAAACTGAAAAGGCAGCCCATCTATTTCGCGAAGTCGTTGCCAGAAATTGCAAGCTCTACCTAGAATTCTGTCATCTTCGTTCGATTGATTTCGCAGCCCTTGTGACGAAACTCTGCCGCCCAGCTCCTCCCTTGCCGCAAATGCCTCTGCGTGTCGTGGTGGATCCAAATTCATCCTGACTCCTCGTTGGCGACCATAGGGTTGTGTCACCCAATAGAATAAAATATTTCTATGATATGATGTGATGTGCGATACGATACGATATATATGATATGATACGATATGACATGATATATATGACGTCAGATTCTGTCTATCTTGCTGGACATGATCATTTCCCTCTCTCTCATATTGTGCTTTATATAAATAACTCACAACTTACAATTCATTAAGCTTCAAAGTAGCCAAACTAAGATGGAAGAGTTTAGCTCCTCATTTGGAGACTAAACATACTAGAAAATATAAAGGAAATACTTGTCTAAACTGAGGTTAAAGTATATGAGAATTGGTGATTTTAATGTGAAGGAAAGGAGGTGTATTTATAGCAAAATGGAGATGGTCAGGTTCTGTACTCGATCCAGTATATGGGATACTGGACCGAGTATGAGAGGAAATTTCCAGTAAATTTTGAAAAATGGGCATACTCGACTGAGTATTGCCAATACTGGACCGAGTATGAGACATGATTTTCATCAAATATTCATCCACGTTCTTTTGCTCCCAGATTTGGTTTTGACCAGCGTATCGGACCAATACTCGACTGAGTATTGAACAAATATCAAAATCTTCATTTGATCTTCTCTCTTTTGCACATTCTTTGATCTTTAAGATCCATCCTGTGATTCTTGGGATGATTTTGACCTGTCCTAAGCTCATAATAATCTTCATCTAAATAAATTACAAATAATTCATGAAAATAAAGTATTACACCAAAAGTGTATAATTTCCCCAACTAGAACTAATAAAACTAGTTAAAAATACAATCATCACTAGTACAAAAAGGCCTTTTACATCCCCTTATCCACATGTGTTATG